CTTGAAGATGCGCATACTAGATCTGAAAATCGTGCTTAAATTTCCATCGAAAACCTTGGATCGACACCCGAGAACTTTCGTTCGTTAGATTCGATATATCCTCATATTTGAGACACAGAAAACAAAGACTTTAGCAGAAGAACAGAACGAATAATAATCCTTTTAATTTTACTTAATAAATGAAATCTATTTAGAAGAAAACAACATTTTTCCTAGAACAACATTTTAGATTACAAATTTATCGTAAATGATCAAAAATGGTCTTGACACGAACATTGACCATTTGGATAAAAGTGATGAATACGATTAGCATCACGAACAACAATATCACATTGTTCAATTTTTGCTATCACTTTTGTAAATTCATCTTAAATATTAAAAAACAAATGTTGACGATTGATTGAAATGAAAATAATCGAATAACTACTTACGACAATGGCCACAAACACGAAGATTTTTAACAACTTGAATAAATTTTGGAGCAGGTTCTTGAATCAAATTCAATGCGATTACCAATAGTTCACTATGACCACATAAAACAGATTCAATTGTTTCATTTTCGTTTAATGAACGAGTCATCCAAGATGAATCAAATATGAAACCATTTTCAATCGCTTTTGATTTTAAACGATCAATTTTAGCATAGCTTTCAGTTGATTGTGGATGAGAATGATCATGAGCTTTAAGTAGCTAAAAATGAATCAACAAAGGACTTATACTTAAATGTTAAATTTAAAAGAAACTACTTTACCACTATATGACCTTTTATTTCAGTCCATGATAATCCTACTTTTACTTTGACTCCCAATTCTTCTATTTGATTAGAGCGAAAATTTTTAGCTTCTTCATATCTGCCTAATGACGAATATATATTTGAAAGAAGAACTACACCGGCTGCAAGACTTTCTTTTGCATTAGGAAATAGAGTTTTCATTCGTTTATATATTTTTTCAGATAAATTACTATTTCGATTATTACGTGCACCGGATAACAAAGACACTAATATAAAAATAAAGAATTTGATAAAACAACAATATAATATTATTAAAGTAATACTAACTATACATGACAATACTTGGTGTATTTGTCTTTTCATAATCTTCAATCAACTTTTGTGCTTCATCAAACATAAATAAACGACTTAAGCAATCAACCTTAAAAAGAAAAAGAATTCATTAAATATAATATTTAAACAAACAAACAAAACATTAAACCATGGTAGTGATGATTGATTCTGTTTTCAAAGAAATTTCATTAAAGATAGTTCGAGCTTCATGAAGAAGACCTGCATGAGAACATGCATTAAGAACACAAATCTGTTAAACATGATTACGTAGATTATTAGGCATTTCTCTATATAATTCAACAGCTTGTGTACCCATTCCATTCAGAGCAAATGCATTGACTTAAAAAATAATTTCTATACTTATAATGAAACTTTAATGAAAGAAAATATTATTACTCATGGCAGTGTATGTGATAGTATCACGATCAACAACTAAATCGAATACGTTCTTTGCTTTTTCAATTGAACCACATTTACCCTTTCGAAGACAGAAAAATAAACAGTCGATTAACCGATTAATATCTGAAATCGATATTTACCCACATATCAATCAATGCGTTTTGCGTTCGAATCTTGTTCTGAATATTCAAAGGAATTTGATTCACAATATATTGACAATGATGTAGCATCCCACTTTTTGAACATGCACCAATAAGTATATTCCATACAATCTCATCAGGAATAATATCTTTTTCTTTCATTTCTTCAAAAATCTTAAAACATTTCCATGATTCACCATTCAGATTATAACCATTCATTAAAGCACCGTAAATCTTAGCACCTTTCGCTTTGATTGATCTCTTGCTTTCAAACAGGGAATTGACTTGCCGATCAATCTAGCAAAAAAAACGAAAAGACATATATTTGTCATGTAAAGATAGAAAAAAAAGGACGCATACATCTTGACTTTCTTCATCCTCATCTGAATCGCCCAAGC